TGTGATGACGTCATCACATACGCGCTTTCGTCGACCGCGATTTTGTCGTCCGCGGTTTTGTGGTAGAACCCTTTGGGGCTGAGGATCGTTGTCAGAAGTCAAGGACAGGAAGCCAAAGCTCTGCCAATCGTGAAACTAGGAATGGGTTCATACAACTATTACCCACCCCCACCCCTCCCCTCAAAAGGATGGCATTGCACTCAGTGCGGGTGGGAATCAGGAGTGTTGCACTTTATGTAACTAACTGTGATGGGATCTGGTGCTGAGTTGCAAAGAGTAACATCATCACCCTTGAATCGTTCCTGGGCGCAGAGAGGCCGTCCCTGATTCTTCGCAGAGAATTACGCAGGAGGTGCTTTTGCCCAGCAAGATGCTGTCCATTTATGGCTATTTACGGCTTTCAGAACTTCCTGCGTCGTTCTGGGCTTCCCCTGCCTGGCCTATTCCATAATGTAGGCTTAATGGTGGTTTGAACGGATTGACTTTGGATAACGGTCTCTTGCCCTGCGCCCATCCCGTCCCAAGGGAGGAGGGATCAGCCCCCCACAGGGAGCAACTCACCTGAAGGAGGCTGAGCAGGACATACTCGTTGATGCCAAAGAGGGTGACTTCCAGCCCGGCCATCAGCAGCAACTGGACGGGGCTGGTCTTACCCAGCAGAGCCCCAAAGGAGATGAGGACGGACCCCGCACAGAAGTCCGCGTTGATCATGCTGGCAAGAAGACAGAAGTGAGGGGGGGGGGAGAGAAAGGGCTAGCGGGAGATTTCTCCCCCATTCATAAGGATTTCCAAAGAGCCTGCACTTACAATGCTTGAAACGGGGAGGTTGCGGGTGGAGAGGGAGTGGCTCCCCCACCCTTCCTGCCCCCACCCCACCCTCAAAGCCTCCCTCCCTGCAGGAGAAAAGGCCGCCTTCCTGTGCAAACGGTGGCTCAAGGCTGCCCAGGCTGAGCTGGAGACAAAGGCAATGATAGGACCGGCTGAAGCCAGAGGTGGCCAGGGTGGGCTGTGCCGGCTTTGGGTCCTGTGGGGAGGAGCAGGAGGACACGGCAGGAGAATCTGGGGCTGCAGCTTTGCCTTGCACCGGGCAAGAGATGCACAGGACCCCTCCCCACCTCCCTACTCCTGGCTGAAGCCCCTCTCAAAGTCCAGTCGGGGGCAGCTCTGAGATCCAGATGGCAGCCGATGGGCAGAGCAAAAGAGCTTTGAATCCAACCTCTGAGTTACCATCCACCATCAGCTGGAGGTTTCAGAGAGCCCCTTCTTTAGCTGCAGACTGCCCCCCCCCAATGCCTCTTGGTTTTTGACCTTGGTTCCTAGTGCCCCACCATGATTGCCTTGGCGTCTGCAGGGTGGCCAGAAAAATTCAGAGGGGGAGCTTTAGTGGCACACTTGATGTTTCTTAACCACCCCCTTCAGATACTCTGACGGCCAGTCTGTGTCCGGAGGAGGGAGACTCCAGGTCTTCAGCAAGGAATGGGGGCGGGATTCGGAGGCTGAGTTGGCTGCCCAGGGATGGGCTCCCACTCAGCTCCATCTTCCTGTCCTTCTGCTGCCTCTGCTTAAGCTCAGGTCACCCCTTTTGGGGGCTCAAGGAGGCCAAGCCTTGCTTGCTCACCTTTCTATGCCCACGTGGATTTTGCCATTGTGAAAGGTGTGGAAAAATCCCTGGATGAGGACAGACCACTGGAGGGCAAAGGCGGCTATCAGGAAATTGAAAGCCACCCCACCGAAGCTGTAGCGTTTCAGGAAGGTCATCAGGAAGCCGAAGCCAAGGAAGACCATGACGTGGACGTCTTGGAAGCCTGCAGGAGGGGAAGGAGAAGGAGGATCCCAGACTCTGAGGGGATGCCAGCACCCGCCTGACAAGCCAAACGTCTCCCTGACTTCCAGCTACTCCCCTGCTCAGCTTTGCCTCTTCAGCCAGGGGCTCCAAGGCTGAGACGGCGGCGGCAGCTGCATAATTGGGTCCCCAAAGTGGCCTCGTTAGGTCGGGCTGATAAGAGTGAGTGTATCACCTGCACGGCAGAGTCCGTAAACGGCTCAGCGGGTGAGGTTGTTTCTGCAGCTGCTCTTGGCCGGCTGAGCACAGCCCCGTCTCAGGGCTGCTGTTGCTGGAGTGGGCGGTGGCAGTTATGGGGCGGGGCGGCTCCTCCTAGGTTGAACCCTAAGCCCGGCTTACGCGCAGCCCGAATTCAGAACTCCCAATGCATTCAGGAAGTGGCAACGGCTGAGGCCAAACAGTCCCTGGTCTGAAAGAAACGAGGTTTCCTTTAGGTTTGCACAGCAGC